TATTAAAAAAGTTATTTTTATAGCACTACCCTAATAATAATACTATATGATAGTAAACTTACCATAATAAAATATTATTATATAATTAATTTTTATTATAAGTAAGAGATTATTAATTCAAATAACATGATATGTAGGTGGACTCCATATGACACTATATACATTTATTTATTTAAGAGTACGTTATAATAATATACTTATAATATATTTTTTAAATAATAAAATACAAAAAACTATATTATAGTCATAACATAACACAATATAATAAATAAATGAAATATAAGGTTCTTATAAGACCGGCAACGAGTCTTATTATTATTTTTTTTGTAATGTTGGTTGCACAACAAAAGTAACCCTCTTTTATTTCCTAATCTATCTCATTTACATATCATTTAATTTGAATTCAAAATTTTTAATTTTTAACAAAAAAAATTATCACTAAATTATTTAAGTTATTGATACAGACATCACTAACCGTTTGTAGAGTTTTTGTAGTTGTAGAGGTTTGGACAAGCAAGATACCGTCTTTAAAAAATAATAATCGTTAAAACAAAGGACTTCCTTGTTTTTTTCCTTTTTCTTTGTAGAGGTGACTTTTTTTTTTTTTGGAACATATTTTGCAAGGGACGGATTTCAAACCTGGCTGGGGGAATGCACCAGTGACTAATGCACCGATGGCTAATGCCACTAGGCTTGAAGGGACAGATGCCTTTGTAGAGGTGACTTAACAAGGAAGTACTTGAAGATTGAAATTGAAAACTGTCTTGACGTGTTTGTTTCAAAGCAAAAAGTTAAAGGTGGTGTGCCAAACAAGTTGGAGAAAATTGACCAACCATTTGCCAATGCCTTATGTAACCCGTCAGGAAAAAATATCAGGATGTGGTTGGCAGTTGCCCAATGGAAACTTCTTTTGTGCTTGTGAGATCGTGGAGGGGAGGACCATTCACATATTAATGGGGATTAGGAAATTACCAACATACCCACTTCCCTCTAAAAAAAAAAAGCAATTCAGCTTTAAAAGATTAATAAATAGGATTTATGTTTTAGGATTGAGATTATATATTAAAAATATAATTTATTTTTTTTACTAATCATATTAT